AACTTTTAGTAATAACTTGCGTTGTAATAACTTTTTTCTTACAAAAAAACAATAGAGTTAATAATGCATTAGGTTACATTTAAAATGCATAATTCACATATTTTCTCTTCATATAAGAGTCAATAAAAATCTAATATTAATCGAAAAATAAAGTATACCAAATAAAGAATTGAAGCATTCAATATGAAGCAATTTGGTTTCGCAGAATAATAATAAAAACTAATACAATGAGCTTTTAAATATTTTTATGCAACTTATATTGTCTTATGAAAACTTAATAACAATCAAAGGAAGAGCCCTTATTTAGTTGTGGCCACATTCAATTACCAAATTCCGCCGCCGAAATTTCACGAAGGCACGAACATCCAATAATACAGCGCGAGTCACCGAATAAAACCACGACACAGGAAGTCGTGAATCAGTTCGAAAACAAATAAATTACTCATAAAAACTATTATGAGGCGATATTTATTGTTTTCTATTAACTTCACATAATTTTTCGATTAGTTTTGTGAAATAGACATTTATGAAGCCGTCTACTAAGCGTACTTGGTTCATGTCCGCTAACAGTTAAACAATGGTACTTGAGGATGAAACTGTAACTGTTAGAAAATGATGCTATCTTTATTTAACCTACTTTTTAGTCGTTTGGGTTTTTATGGATTTTCTCCGTTATTGCTATGTAAATACAGTCACACGAAGGAAAATATTGTTCGACCAATGCAATCTGAATCAGTTCCACAACAAGCCACCTAAAGATATGCACTTTCTCGGAAAAAAAAAAATTATTTTAACCACATGAAATAAATGGTAGTTTTCCATAGTCGCAATGATACACTTTTGCAGTTTTCCATAGTCGCAATGCTACAATTTTGTAGTTTTCTATAGTTGCAATGCTACAATTTTGTAGTTTTTTCTCGTTGCAATGCTTCGCTTTTGCAGTTTTCCATAGTCGCAATGCTTCACTTTCTCAGTTTTCCATAGTCACAATGCATCATTTTTGCAGTTTTCCATAGTCGCAATGTTACAATTTTGTAATTTTATGTAAGACGGAGATAATGTTGGCTAGCACTTTTTTGTAAAAATGTAAAACGCCAGAATAAAACGTTCAATTTATATTCCAAACGAATTTTATAAAATTATCGGACGAGCTATTTTTAATTCGATTACCTAATAATAGTAGTGTACCAGAAAATATGAGATCATAAAATTATCGGTAAATCAGTTCCGTAGTTAGTGCTTTTATGAAGTATAATTTACAAAAACTCACAAAAAACCATCAATGAAATGTATTTTAAAGTAAAAGAGAAAAACTACAATTCTTGTATTAACGGTATTCGAACTAACACTACTATTATTATAAACAGTATTAGAACTAACACTACTATTATTATTAGCAGTATTAGAACTAACACTACTATTATTATTATTAACGGTATTAGAACTAACACTACTATTATTATTAACAGTAAATTAGAACTAACATAACTATTATTATTATTAACGGTATTAGAACTAACACTACTACTATTATTATTAACGGTATTAGAACTAACACTACTATTATTATTAACGGTATTAGAGCTAACACTACTATTATTATTAACAGTTTAGAACTAACACTACTATTATTATTAACAGCATTAGAACTAACACTACTATTATTATTATTAACGGTATTAGAACTAACACTACTATTATTATTAACGTTATTAGAACTAACACTTCTATTATTGTTAACAGTACTAGAATTATCACTATTATCGTTAACTGTACAAAAATTGTGATTATCATTGTTAATGGTACAAGAATATCAGTTGAACTGTTAATGGTGTGCTAGAATAAAAACAATTATTATTGCCTGTGCTAAAATAGTAGCAATAACTACTATAATGAAAAAACAAAATTAGTAATTTTAGTTGTGATTAGTGCGAACCGTGTCATTTTACACGAAATATATTTGAAATGATTATTTTTAACTGAGGTCTTCCAAAATCATAAGATGAATAGATGAATAGAATCATAAGAAAAACATCATTTCAGTTTCTTTTTCAAATAACTTTTCCGCCGAGGAGATTTAATATCAAAGATCATTTTGATGCGAAAAGCTCAATATTTTATGTAAAATGTCATGAAAAGTCACCTTATGTGAGACACATTGCAGAGCTCATTGCATTATGCATTCACAGACACACATTGCACATAATGAAATTGAAATGATATGCAGGAAAACTGGTTTCTTCACGCAGTGTTACCAAATAGAAGAAAAAGAACCTTTCCAAGAAAAAATTCAGCTACAGATTAGTGTGTTTGTTCGTCAGTTATGACAATTATCTCTTGGTAATCAAAATGGCAACTGAGTATGACTAAAAAATGACATTTTTTGATTCATTGATAATCATTATAAATATAATTCATTTCTTAAAATACACAGAAGAATACACAGAAATTTTTTTTTCTTCTTTAGTTTGACGTTGTTTAATATAATATAAGGGGCCGTTATAAACTTTGCATTTAAAACGCATTATTTTTTCAGATGTGAATCTCTAAAAATTTAAAACGGGAATGCGTAATATTTCGAAATTTATTGTTTACAATAGATACTTAATATAGAATATAATAACGATAACATTTTTTAGCTATAAATATTATTTTATTTCATTAATTCTAGAAATTAAGAGCTTTGTCAATACAAAGGGGATGTTAAACCATAAGTATTTTTTTCTGTTGTCGAGTGGTCACTTTCCATAGTAACGGAGTAATTCCCATATTAATATTAAAATAACAAATAAAAAAAGTTAATTAATATTCTACAAGCTCCATTTTATTTTATTTTTTAAAATAACAAACCTTTTTTTTTTTAATTAAAAGTATCGAACAACTTTACATGGATTTAAATATCGACCTTAATTCACCAGTATATGAAAAATAAGATAGTTCACAAATGAAAAGAAAATGTGTAAAAAATAAGGGGAAATTGCAAAATTATCAAAGGTTTATGGTATGAGCATTAGAAGTTTTTTTTCTGACTAATATTTTTGAGGGGAGAAAAAGTAAGAACCTTTTTAATATATATGACCAAAAATAAGAATGTCTTAAGAAAAATCGGTTTAAAACTGAACTGTACCTTGAACCATAAACCAGTGCAAATTTTTTCAACCTTAAGAAGCTGCTAAATTGAGCCATGTGCCCGAACAAATTGATCCCCAGTAGCTTGTAATCAAGTTTAATCTATGATATGGGGTTCAATCGTTAATAACGGCTCAAAATTTTAAACAAAGTACAATTAAGAGGCTTTAAATTTCAAATAATTATTAAGAATATTTTGTTAAACTATCAGAACATATACTAATGATATTACACAATTATCTGTTTATTATGCACTGTAAAAAATTGCGGTATAAAGTAAAGGCGCTTAGGATTCAGCCTCCTCAAAATCCATTTTTAACCGTAAAATATTATACCACAATTTCTATAGTAATATTTATTTTATTTGAGTGATTTTAAGGTAAAAAATACAGTATATCATATATTTTTTTGTTCCGTAACACGTACCAGTAAAAAAATATTTTACCGTAATTCGATCGGGAATTTTTTTTTTTTTTTTTTTTTTTTTTTTTTTTTTTTTTGCATTGTGGCAGATTTGTTATAGAAGTCACCATAGCGAATAAACACTAGTTACTAGTTATTCTAAACATGTTCACTAATGAATTTTAATTTTGTACCGTAAACATGACTTGGCGTAAACTTCAGCGGAAATGTTTTAATTTTCGCAAGACATGCGTGTTTATATGAAAGAGTGGGAATGACACATATTATTCTCAAGACGCCAAACGCAAGTCCGGAAATGATTCAACATTAACTTCTTACCTTTCTGGCAACTTTGAAGGCCGTATTGCGAAAAATATTCATTCACGAAATTCCTCTTTTTCTATTCTGCTATGCAAATTTCATTTTCATTGACGTATGTGCAATCTTTTTTCGCGACCCCGAAGCAAGGTTTTGATGAGTGCTTAAGACTTCTGGTCAAGCCCAACGTTTGCCAACCAGTCAGGTGATTGCAAAATCCTCAGGTGTTTTGACGACCAACATATGCAATTAGGGACAAACGTTGTAAACATTAGAAAATGGAATGTGTCCTTGTGTGTGTATTTTACGAAAGTGTGAAAACTGATTTCGTAATTATAAAGTTGAATGAAAAAGAAGATAGGATTTTATGTATTGATGACGATTCTTTCAAAATATTACTTTTTGCTAATGGGTGTGCTGTAATTATAGTGAGTAAGATTTAAATGAACTGGGTCAGGTCTAATAGTTAAAAATGGCACGTAGGCGTTAGTTCAAAGATCACTAATTGTAAATGTATTATCATTAAAAATGAAAAAAACTTTACGTAGGCGAAAGAGCAACTAACTGATTATCGTTTTATAATAATTCCCACAAAAAAAACTGCATAAATATCAATTAAGAATGGGTATTTTAATATGCATTTTGAGTTTTCTTTGTAGTTCTAAATGTGGACCATTACACTAGAATTTAACTCTTAAATCAGCAAATAAGTTATAAGATTTTTTAAATTTAAATGAGTAAAACATTGTTTGTTTTCTTAAATCTCTTAACTACCATAAAAACTTAACAATTTAAACACGATGAATTTAAAATTTATATCTTGGTAAAAATAAATATTGACATTTATGACACGTCATTAGCTATTTGTTGATAAAATTTCTTTTAATTAAATTCTGAGTAGTACGTGTCAAGCGAATAGTTGTACTAGTCGTTTGAAGAATACAAATTTCAGTTTTAAGAAATTCAAATAAAATGAATTTCATGTTTTTCAATTAATAAAATAAAGACTGAGACATTCATAACCCCCATAAAGTACTTGATAATTAAATTTCTTTAAAAATAAAAAATCTAATTAAAACTGTCTTAATTTAAATAAAATATTTGAAACAAAAATATTTTTTGAAGAGTTGGTTAAATACTTAATTGGATACCTGAGTTAGGGATATATTCCAAACAGAGAGATATTTGAGGCACATTTTGAACTACAGTTAAACAATGGATTCAATTATTTCAAACTCACCTAGAAAGAAAGAAAACAAATTATTATTGCGTTGCAAACTCATTGAATTGAAATACAAACAGTCAATTATGATAGCATACATTATTAGAATAAGAAAAGGTAAACAATAGAAGCGTGATTAAACATTAAAAAAATTTAAAAATTAAATTTTTGAAGAATACTTAAAGGGTATAATTATTATGTTTCAGTAAAAAAAAGAAGAAAAAAAGAAAAGAAACTACGTAGGTTGCATAATTTTTTTTGTTTAACATTTGGTGATACAATTTAGTTACGAAAATGATGCGTCCTAACTTTTACCGTTTTGGTTTGGCAGAAGCAAAATATTCTTCTTTTCAGATTGGTTTCCTGCTTTAAAAAAAGTGGACTTCGACGTCGAAGAGGGATTTTCAGTTGTGATCGAAGATTATTACGAAAACGGTGCGTCCTAAGTTTTTTCTTTTATGTTTGAAAAAAAGCAGAATTATCTTCTTTCTAGACTGGTTTCCTACTTTAAGAAAGTGGACTCAAATAAAAGAAAAAATTCTGTTATATTTAGAGAAAAAACGTAGGGTACATCTCTTCAAAAAAGTGGTAGGTGGATTTTCGGTGTTGGCGGAAGTTAGTTACAAAAATGATGCTCCTTACGTTTTTTCCTTTGGGTCTGACAAACAGACTGCTTTCCCGCAATAAAAATGTTACTTTGAAATATTTTATTATTTTCAGCTTTTTTTAATTATCTGTCTGTCTGTTCATGAAAAGAGATTAAAATAAGGTTTTAATAACAGCGGTGTACAGGGGAAAAGAATAATGGACTCACTTATCCAGACAAAGGGGACATCTTTTTAAGGACAATAAATCTGTGACTATTCTTTTTTATAATGTAATTAAATTGTTCAACTTAAAATTATAATAATTAAGTTAAGTTAGTATTAAAGTTTTAAAAAGCATTTCAATGTTTTTTATAAACCTTCTTCACATTATAGTGATATAAATATGAATTTAAAATAAGATTTATAAGCACATTATATCTTTCAATCGCTCCCCCCCCCCCAAAAAAAAANCATCCCCCCCCCCAAAAAAAAATTTTAAATTGGCTTTTTTTGCCACCTCCAGTGAGAGCACTCTTCTTTTCAGAGACACCTAATTGAAGAGTTAGCCTTAAGCGTTTACACACCATTGCTTAAAAAATGTGATATAAAAAGAGCCTTTTTTTGTCTAATTTATAAACATTAACTGAAAAAAAAAGAGAACGATTCATTCAGACAGAAATTGATAACCATTGAACTTTTAGTTTCAATAATCTAATTTATATTCAAATCACGTGGTATTTGTACAACTAAATGAAAAAAGTAACAAATTGGTGACTCAACTAGCTCAGATCTATCAATCAAACTCAGAATTGGCATGACCCGTTTCTACATCTGCGGGAATGCGAAGTGACCAAAATTTGAACTCAAAGAATTATTCACATCTATTAATTACTTTTCTCATCGGTTGTAATAGATTAAAGAGAAGGATGCAAAGACATTTTGAGGTTAACGAAATAATATGAGGCAAAATCATAAAATATTCTTTTTAAATTCTAAAGAACTTGTCAATTATCTATTTCCTATAGGCACTCGCTGAACTACAGGTAAGCACATAATTAAATTTTAATTTATTGAATAAAAAGAAGAAAAAAATTATGATTAACACTCTATGTGAAATTATGATTCAAAATTTAAGTTTTATAACATGAATAACAGTGACCGGGGTCATTTTAGGAGAAATTTAGTAAGAGAAAAAAATTTATCGTCAAAATGAGCCCTTCGCAAAATATTTTATCACAAAACCTGGTACCTTTCGCAAAATATTTTATCCGAAAAAAAGTTCCTTCCCGAAATATTTTATTAAAATAACGGATACTTCAAAAAATTTAACCTAAAAACGGATCCCTCACAATATTTTCATATTAAAAATAAATTTTTACTCAAATTCTTCCTTAGAAAAACGAACAAAACGGAATTTATGACGACCTCCTTTACACATATTTTTTAACTACAGCTCTTTTAAAGACTTTTTATTTGTATTTTTTCACAAAAATAGGACCTAATTTTCACACAAAGAATAATAAGAAAGAATTATTTCACAATTTTTTTTACAAAAACAAAAGAAAAAGAGGTAATTAAAACCGAACAATTTCATTAAAAGTTTCATTCTAGCAAATTAGGAGGAGAAAGAAAAACGAAAATAAAGTTTTCGAAAAAACAAAACTTTGTACAAAAAAAAAAAAAAAATANAAAAAAAAAAAAAAAAAAAAAAAAAAAAAAAAAAAAAAAAAAAAAAATAGCACTTTTAAACATAGTCTTTCACCGGCTGTTCCATCTTTTTTATTGTCGTGCAATTAATTAATTTCATTGTGAAATAAAAAAAATAATCGTTATAATTAGAAACGGGACACGTATTCTTAATGACATAATATATCGGCTAAGCCAAAACTATTAAACCTAAAATGGATAATTTATTACGATATAACATACCCTGCCTGTATAAAACAAAATATAAATTCGTATAAGACAAATTGGATATGCAGTCGCGAGACAGTGTCAATCACCCAATAAAATGATGGAATTGGTCTATTTATAGTCGGGCATTCGCGTGCAAACTACAGCTAGACGCGCGTGGATTCGAATTTTATTACTTACTTTTAAGCTTTAATAGTAAGTGAATGCGAAGCAATGATCTTTAATTTCTTCCTCGTTCTCAAGATGATTTCTACGTAATCACAATTACAAAATGAGTGGTCTAATTAGGATACAAAAATTGAGTGAAATCTTTGGTAGCTAAAATAGACCACTCAATATAAATACTTTTTAGTTCCGCTTTAGTATTTTATGCACTAACGGTGCTTAAAGAATCGTATTTCATTGGTTAATAAATTATTCTGTTAATCCATAACTTGAGACTAATTTTTTTTCTCTACATACGTTATTTGTTTTCCGTTGGCAAATAGGAGTTGAGATATTTATTGCAGAAAAAAATCAGTTTGTACCTTTATATTGCATGAAATTTTTTTCTCCAGAAGTTTGTAGAGCAGCAGCGACGCTTTTGATACACTATTAGAAGTTTTTATGGCAGAAAACTATTAAATTTGGGTCATTGTAATTCAAGATTAAAATGAGTGAAGAACAATGTAGGGATGCCAAACTATAGTGGCATTTTACCATCCACTGTTAGAAGTTTTTATGGCAGAAAACTATTAAATTGGGGCAATTGTTTTTCAAGATTAAAATAAGTGAAGAATACTGTAGGGATGCCAAAGTGTAGTGGCATTTTACCGTCCACTGTCAGAAGTTTTTAATGCAGAAAACTATTAAATTAGGGCCATTGTATTTCACGATTAAAATCAGTGAAGAATAATGTAGGGGGGCCAAACTGTAGTCACGTTTTATCGTCCACTGTCAGAAGTTTTTATTGCAGAAAACTATTAAATTAGCGCCTTTATACTGCAGGATAAATCAGTGAAGAATCATGTAGAGTAGGAAATAAAATAATTTCGAAGATTGCATAGATGCCAACCTGTAGCGATGCTTTTGCTAACAATGTCAGAAGTTTTTAGTGCAGAAAACTATACAGATAGAAAAATTGTATAGCACAAAAGAAATCAACTAAGAAGATTGTAGAGCTATAATAAACTAGTTAGAATGATTGCAGAGATACAAACCAGTAGTGACGTTTCTGCGTAAACTGTCAGAAGTTTCTGGAGAGTGTTGAACTATAAAATCGCTCATTCAAATTTACGGCAACCAATAAGCTAAGTGGGCTATTAGACAATGTTGAATTATATTATCTTACACATTAAACGCGATATTCAACTTAAACAGCAACAGGGAGCAATTCAAAATAAATAAAAGTTACAGCGAATTTGCCTCGTGTTATGGTTCTAGGTATTATTGAGGTTCAAAACTGATCCGTAAATTCTGAGAGTGTATTCGCAGGAGTGTTTTCTTTTCTCGTTATAATAATGGGGAAGTTATACCCATTTCTTAGTACAAAAAAGAGGATCAAGCATAAATCGAAAAATATAACTATAAATTAGGGGTTCATTAAAAATCGGAAAGTTGAACTTTTCTATTGTTTAGAGGGGCGTTTAGTAATAAGAATCAAAACTAATGGAACTTTAGAAAATGTACAAACTGTAAAAAATTCCTGATCAAATTAAGGTAAAAATTATCAGCACTCAAGGTTCTGGTTCTTTTTGACATAAAAACCATTTTTATCGGGATATGTAATATTACAGAACAAAAATCTGATAAACCGTACTTTTTTCAGTAATAATTACAGCAAAATAACTGAAATACCCAAGATAAATAAATATTTCTGCATAAATTACGGTTAAAATGGATTTTACGGTAAAACGGATTTTATAGATGATGCACCCAACGTGCCGGTACTAATTGATTTGATTCGGAATTTCTCACGGTGTAGTAAGCAGGGTCCTCAAAATTATACCCAATTTAGTGTAACAACCAGTTCACTTATAAGATATTTTGGCGTTCAAAATATTTCGAAATCTATATCTCAGCAATATTTTGAAATCTATATCTAAGCGAAATCTGTATCTCACTATGTCAGCTGGATTCTCTTAATGGAGCAATAATAATCATAAAACTCACAAACTAAATAGTTATTTTTACGAAGTCCTAATGTTACCATACATGATATAAATGAACTAATATTATTTAAGCAGAAATAAAAAATTAAAATTAATAAATCCAAAATTCTACGCTACATTGCGGAGAATTCTATTTTGTATATTTTCAAAGCAGAAATCGGGTCAGTAGCTTCTGAGATAACGATTAAAAATGTATTGGAAATCAGGGCTTTATTGAAAACTTGATTGATTTTTGATTGTTTGTGCTGCGAGTTTCATAACTCTTTAATGGCCGCTTTAACTTACCCAAAAATACGAATTTCAACAAAAGATTTCAACACATTTTTTATACACTATTCTCTAATTCGCTATTTTAAATTATGTTGGT